TATATAGCTACGGAATTCGATCACGCCGGCCCTACGGGAGCTGCTTATCCCCGTGATTATGCCTACTAACTACGGCGAGTACGTGAGCCGGTTAATAAAGGTGGCTTAGGGCTACGAGCAGACGCCGCGTTTCTAGAAGCTCCGTAAGCGTACGCCGCATAGCGGCGACGGGATTACCGCCCCTCTATAAGATAAATAACCGGCTATCGACACGGACGGGGACACCCTAATATCGGCTACCCGCACGGACCGGGCTAGACGCGGCAAGAAGACGCCGTCGACCACCCCCTACACTACCCCGCACTCTAAGTAGCGGGCGAAGTAGGTAACGAGCGAGGAAATCGGGAAGAGGAAGGCTAACGGCCGCTACCTACGTTGCGGAGCATCTACGTACTTTATATTAAAATGCCCCTTCCTTTTAGCTAAGCGGCCCGTAGCGGTTCGAGTAGCGAAGATAGAACCGCTCCTCGCCTTAGACGATAAGGAGGACTCCGCCCCCCTAGGCCCGGAGGAAAAAGAGTAGCTCTAGAGTAAAGACGGGCTCTAGAGCCCTAATTGCTAGCACTAGTAAAGGAGAAGGAAGAATTATCCGCCCGTATAGAAGAGGAGCCTACTTTAATATAGGTTATAATTAATAACTCCTTGCCCGTTGCCGCCCTTATAGACGAGGGCTGCTAGTGCTACGCCGCAGTTAACGAGGCGCTTGCGCGAGAGATATAAGTGCCGGTAGAAAAGATCGCCCTAAGGCGAGTAAAGGGCGCCTTAGGCGCAATAGAGGGTGCGGTGATTAGGGGTATTACGTGGCTAGCTATAGAGGTCGACGGTTGCTATAAGCTTATCGTGGCCTATATAATCCCCTAACTAGAGTTTCCCCTAATCTTCGGGAAACCCTAGTTATTATATATAGAGTTATACTCGGTTCCGTACCGGAGGAAGCTATAGTTTAGGCCTACGCAACGGTAGGTCCGCTACGACGACGGTTCTATAGGCGTAGGACTAGGCGTGCGAGCTTTATGCTCGGCATAAGAAGTCCTTGCCTCTATCTTCGTAGGAACCATGCGACGGGTAGAGCGGGGGCAAGGCCGGGCAGCGGCTAACGCAGCGGTCTACGTAGTTAGCCTAGCGGACATCGATAAGGCCCTCTAGACGAAGAAGCCGAAGTCGCCCTCTAAGCTACGGCAATAGATACCGGAGCGCTTTCACGACCTCCTGCCGCTATTCGAGTCCTAGGAAGCAGATAAGCTTAACCTATATAAGCCGGGGGTAGACTATAGGATCGTACTCCGCACCGATAAGAAGGGGCAGGAACTACCTGCACCGTTTAGACTGCTATATAGTATGTTATACGCGGAGCTGCTAGTGCTAAAGAAGACGCTAAGGGACCTCCTAGATAAGGGTTTTATTTAAGCAAGCAGCTCCGAAGCAGGAGCGCCGGTCCTATTCGTGCGTAAACTAGGGGGCGGGATACGGTTCTATTACGACTATAGGGCCCTAAACGCAATCACGAGGCCGGACCGCTACCCCTTGCCCCTAATCTCGGATACGCTCCATAACCTTTCGAAGGCGAAGTAGTTTACGAAGCTAGATATAAAACAGGCGTTCTATAAAGTACGGATCTCGGAGGGTAACGAGTAGAAGACGGCGTTCCGTATACGCTACGGCTTATTCGAGTGGCTTATAACGCCCTTTAGCCTCTTAGGAGCGCCCGCCACCTTCTAGCGTTATATTAATAACGTGCTTCGGGACTTCCTCGACGAGTTCGCCTCCGTATACGTAGATAATATCCTTATCTATACGAGCGGCTCCTACGAGGACTATATATAGAAAGTACGGAGGGTCCTAGAGCGCCTCTAACTTTATAGGCTCTACCTCGACCTAGATAAGTGCGAATTCGGGGTTAAGAGGGTTAAGTACCTAGGCTTTATTATCTACGTAGGCGTAGGCATATAGGCGGACCCCGCAAAGATCTAGGCGATTCGGGACTAGGCTGCCCTAACTACGTAGATAGGCGTGCGGAGCTTCCTTAGGTTCGCGAACTATTATAGGATGTTTATTAGGGGCTTCTCCTATATTATAATGCCCCTAAACGAGATTACCGGGAAGCGGACCGCCTTTCGCTAGGGGCCTATATAGGAAGGAGCGTTCCGTACGCTTAAGGACCTATTCTCTTAAGCCCCGGTGCTGCTCTAGTAGGACTTCGACCGGTCTACGTTAGTTAAAGCGGACTATAGCGGCTAGGCACTCGGAGGAACGCTCTCCTAGGAGGTAGACGGGCGGAAGTAACCGGTAGCGTTCTACTCCCGTAAGCTAACCCTAGCGGAGCGGAATTACGCTATTTACGATAAGGAGATGCTAGCGATTATTAGCTGCCTCGAGCAATAGTAAGCGGAGCTCCGGAGCTATAAGAGCTTCGAGGTTCTTATAGACTATAGGAACCTCGAGTACTTTATAACTCGCTAGCACCTCTCGGAGCGGCAAGCCCGCTAGGCGGAGTATCTCTTACGCTTTAACTTCTCGATTAAGTACCGCCCCGGGCGGGACTCCGCGGTCCTAGACGCGCTTTCCCAGAGGGATTAGGACCGGCCGACGGGAGCGGACATCGAGGCCCGGGATCTATAGCTTATCCCGTAGGAAGCACTACGGACTTATATAGGAGCTTCCCTAGTAGAGGAAGACGCGGTGCTAGCGAATAAGCTTCCCTCTACGCCCTTGCCTCGGTCCGGCGAGGAGGGATAGACCGGCCTAGGGGCGCGCGCGGCGAGAGTGTTCTAAGATAAGGCCCTATAACGCTTATAGGATAGGATGGCGGCTCTAGACCGCACCTACGAGGGCGTGCGCCGCGCCGTTAAGTCCGGCGCTCGACGCCTAGATCCGAAGCTAAAGCTAAAGGTATAGGTGGCCGACTGCTATATCGACCTACGGGGGCATCTACGCTAGCGGGGGAGACTATAGGTACCGGGCGCACCGTATACCACGGAAGCTAAGGAGAAGGAGGGACCGCCGGAGCTAGACGAACGGAATAAGCTCCGAGGGAGGCTGGTCTAACTTATCTATAACTCTAGCGTCGTGGGTCACCTAGGCAGACAGGGCACAGCAGCAGGCCTTGCGAGGGACTTTTACTGGCCCCTCCTATAGCACCACGTTCGTCGCTTCCTCCGTAACTGCGATATCTACGGCCGCACGAAGATCTAGAGGGCGTAGCTTAAGGGGCTGCTTAAGCAGCTTCCGGTACCCGACTAGTTCTACACGCATATATAGATAGACTTTATAACGGACCTCCTACTTATAGAGGGCGGCAACCGCTATATATAGGTAATTAAGGACCGACTTAGTAAGTCTATAGTATTAGAGCCGATGCCGTCTATAGATACGGAGTCCTACGTAGAGCGCTTCCTATAGTACTAGGCCCGCTCGCATAGCTAGCTAGCCTCTATTATAAGCGATAGGGGATCGAATTAGACTAGCCGCTTTTAGCAGCACCTATGCTAGCTACTTTAGATTACGTAGCTACTTAGCATGGCATATTACCTATAGACCGACGGAGGGCCCGAGAGGGTTAACTAGGAGGCGTAGGCTTACTTACGGGCTATCGTGGCCCGCAACTAAGTAGACTAAGACCGGTAGCTCCCCGCGGCCCAACTTACGTTAAATAGTAAACTATATACCTCTATTAGGATGGCCCCTTTCTTTGCAACGTATAGCTTCGAACTACCCTTACTAGTTCCCTTTGCCGTAGACGTGGTAGCGGAGCAGCATAGCAATGCGTTACTAGAGGGCCGCGCCTCCGCGTTCGTACGAAAGCTATAGGAGACCACGGATTATTGCTAATCCGCGATAGCCGCCGCGGCGTAAGATCAGGAGCGGCACGCTAATAAGACTAGGGCCCTAGTAGATAGGTTCGCGGCAGGAGATAAGGTATAGCTAGACCTCCGCAACTATAGGTCGGCACGACTAAAGAAGAAGCTTAACTAGCTATACGCGAAGTTTACGGTACGGAGGGTTATTAGCCCGTAGGTTATAGAGCTCGATGGTCTCCTAACGGGGGTCTATAATAAGATTAACGTAGACCTCCTTTATAGAGCCTCCTCTAACCCGCTGCCCGGATAAGAAGCAGCGGACGCCTAACCGCCCGTAATCGAGGTAGAGGGAGAGGACGAGTTCGAGGTCGAAGAGATACGGGCCGCGCGCTAGAAAAAGGTCGGCAGGGGGAAACGCCGGGAGGTCCTCGTTAAGTAGCGCGGGTATCTCGACCCTACGTAGGAACCCGCACGTAAGTTTACGGGAACCGTAGCCCTCAATAAGTTCAAAGCCTTATTCGGAACGGTAGACGAGAACGACGGACTAGCGGACCACCGACAGCAGCCTAGGCCAGGACCACGAAGTAGGTATAGCGGAGGGGGCAGTCACGGCAATATAGGCAATATAAGCGTAATAGTACGGGCGGAGATAAAAATAGCGTTTATTACGGGGCGGAGCCCCTAGACTACCCGGGCTTATTCCTTATCGTTATTATTATTATTATCTTTATTATCGTCGTCCTCGTCGGCCTCCTCCTTCTTATTAGCGGCGGCGGCGGTCTCTAGGGCGCTAAGGCGGCCCTCTAAGCCCGTAAGCTAGTCGGCGGCGGCGGCCCGGGGGGCAGGGGGGGGGCGGCTGGGGGCGGCGGCGGGGGCAGCGGCGGTGACGGGGGCGGGCACGGCTAAGGGGACCGCCGATAGGGCGACGGAGGTAGTGTCCCTAGCGCCGGGTACGTTAGAGGCGGAAACAGGGGAGCGGAGGAGTAAGACTTACTTAGGTATAAGGCCCTATCACTCGAGGGCGCGGAGGTTGCGGTAGGCGGCGGCGGCGGCGGTAAGGCGCTTCTTAGCAGCCCCCCGCGCCTACCCGTACGAGCCGGCCTTCTAAGCCGACGCCGCAGCGAGCAGGACGGGAGGCGCCGCCTTATAGGCGCGGCCGGCTCGCGCGCACTAGTAGCAGCTGCCGCCGCGGCGGCGCCCGGCCTAGTCGGAGCAGTCGAGCTCCTGCGACGCACAACGCATATAGGGGCCGGGCGGCGCCGGCCTGCACTTAGCGCTTATGCTATAGGAGGTTAGCGGATAACGTCTATTACGCTTGCCTAACTACGGACTTACGGGGGTAGCGGAGACGGAGGCGGGGGCCGAGGGGCCGGGCGTCACGGGTGGCGGCGGGGATAGCGTCGTCACCCTAAGGGGCGACGTGAGAGCGAATAGCGCAGCAGAGGCGGCGGCGGCGGCGGTGGGAGCGGTGGCAGCGGCGCGGGCAGGAGCGGCGGCAGCGGCGGAGTCGTCGTCGGCCGCGGCTAGCACGGCGTCGACGAACGACTTTGCACGCTCCGAGAAGGAGGAGGTAGGAGAGGGAGAGGCGGATATATCTATCGCGGAAGTTAGCACGACGGAATACGGCCTCCCGCTCTATAAGGCGCGGAACTTACTAGTTAGAGTTATTATTGTTGTTAGGGCTATTATTGCTATTGCCGCTGCTACTACGAGCATACGTTAATAGAGCGGCCCGTATAGCTAGGAACGGACTAACGCCCTAGGTAGAGCGGAACTTACCTATTAATGCTGCTGCTACGGTTAAAGAAGGGAGAGAAGGAAGGGAAGGGGGAAGGGGGGGATGCCGCCTTATATACCCCTTAGTAGAGGATGCTGCCTAAGGTAGAGGGGACGGGCAACCTAAGGCTTACGTAGGTCCGGACTAGCCGCCGGCCACCTAGGGGCGTATATAATAGGTTACGCCCCTATTTAAACGGCTAGCCGGCCGACGAGTATAGAGCCGGGTCCCGGCTGCCTAGGCTAACGGGCGCGGGGACAATAGGGCTAGTAGGGCCGGCCCTATTAACGGGAAAGGGCAGGGAAGAGCCCGCGGCACGGGCCTAATTGTGCGGGAGCCGTTAATAGGGCAGCACTACGCCGCGCTCGAGGGAGGGCATTGTATAAGAGTCTTTGACTATTATAGGTGATGGGCTTAGGCCGCGGCCTAAGCCGTGTAGTCACGTGCGGAGGGCCGGATCCCGTAAGTATAGGGGCGGGCCAGCCGCGCATAGAAGAGCTCTATATAGCTTATTAACATTATCCTACGGACGGCACCTACGCGCACGCTTCTGCCTACTCCGTAACACCTAGCCTTATATAAGGAGATAAGGTCTTTTAAAAAGGTCCTTAAGGAAAAGGTAAAAGGAAAATAGGTCCTTAGCTATAAGTAGGTCTTTATCTATAAGACTAATAAATATAGTTACTTTTAAAAGTATAAAGCCTAGCTAGTTATCTATAGGAACTAATAGGAAAAAGGGGATCTTCTTACTAAGGTAACTACTTTAATAGGGATGTCTTTTTAGACCCTTATAGCTATAGTAGTAGAATTTAACCTTAAACTTAATTAAATAGATACCGTTAATACCTTTATTAACTACCCCTTTAAGGAAGAAGAAGTTATCTATATAAGCCTTAACTAGAAAGTATATATATATAGATATAGAGTATATAAAATAAGTAGGGTAGTATAGCTTATTAACGCGTAGCGCTAATACTATATAATTAGGTATATATATTCCCTACGCTTATATAGTAGACTCTTTAACGTATATATTACTCTTTAATATATATATCGTAAATAAAAGCTATTTTTACTATAATTTCGTAGTAAAGGTAGGCCTAAGGGCGCCCTTAACCTCGAAAAAATAACCCGTAGTATATAGCGCGAGCCGTCGGTATATAATATTATAGAAAGCCTTAAACGTGCTAAAGCTATAATAGTACCGCCGCCGTTAATAGCGCCGCTAGTACTTAATATAGGCGCCGTAGCGTCTACCTTTACCTAAGGCTTACGATACCTTTAACGGTATAGCGATCTCTATAAGCCTAGTATAGCTATACTATAAGTATATTAACGAGCTATATATACGCCGTTTTTTAATAAGGAGCTCGCCGGCGAGCCTACTAATAAGGCTACTAAAGATACTACTAGGTTATAATACTAGCTAATCGATCTTATATAAGAGGAAATTATCGTCGCGATGCCCTTATAATAGGTCTCGTAAGAAGCCTTATAAGAAGAGCTCTTATAAGATATAAAGTATAAGTTATTTAAGCTAGCCGAGTAAGAGTATATAGTAAAGTAGTAAGATAAGATAAAGGTAAACGTCTAAGAGGAAAAAGAGGTATAGCGTAATTTATATATAGATAAACTAGTATAGAGATATATACTTTCTAGCGCGGCTAGACCGCCGCCGGTAGGCCTATTAAGGCGGGCAGGGCGGGTAGGGCTTAATTTAACGAAATAATATATCTTTAAGTCTTAAGCTCTATATATAATATAACGTAAGTAGCCTACCTATATATAAATATCTTTACTTTACGATATATACGTTAAAGAGTCTACTATATAGGCGCGGGGAATATATATACCTAATTATATAGTATCGGTGCTACGCCTTAATAAGCTATACTACCCTACTTATTTTATATACTCCCTATCTATACGTATATACCTTTTAGTTAAAGCCTTTATATATACCTTCTACTAAGCTTCTAATAGCTAGGAAAGGTTCTATAGCTTAGGACAGCTCTATATAGACTATAAAGATTACCCTTTCTTTAGTAATATTATTTAATAGGTTTTCTTAAAGCCCTAGGCTTTAAGAAAGTCCCTTAGGAACTATATATAATATAAAAGGATAAAATTATAGTCTTTTTCTACGTTAATAATATTATCTAAGCTTACTTAAAAGAGGAAGAAATAACTACTAAGGAGGCTATATAAGGCCTATAATAAAGGTATAAGATAATAATAAGAATATACCCTTATATTCTTAATTTACTAATATAAAGAAATAATAGGCATAGGGAGGCTTTATAGAATAAGCTAGTAAAAAGAGGCTCTATAATATAGGCTAAGGGAATAACCCTTAAAAGACAAAGACCTCTACTAGACATCTATATCTTCCTCTAGGAAAAGCGGGTTAGGATAAGCCTATCCTTATAAATAAAAATATATATAAAATGCATAAGTTAATTACGAGCAGAACGGATACCCTATTATATATTTTAGCCTAGCGGTTCCGAAGATATCCGCGATATAAGAATAGGTAGAGCATAGAACATTCTAGTTAAATCCACTACTTATACTAGAACCCATAGTCTTACGTTAACTATCACGCTATAATTAGACCACCTACTAAGTTAGGAAGATATACTATAGATAGAGCTTTTTAAGCACTATAGAATGTGCTAGAAAGCTAACTAATTAGTCTACTAGTAGGCGAGCAATAGTCTATAAAAGATAAAGGATTTCCCTAGGAGTAGTAGATAGAATAAGCAAGTTAGCAAGCATCTTTTACAACGCTATTCTTTTAATATATTATTCAGCCCCTTATATACTCGTTATAAATTCCGGATAAAATCCTACCCTATACTCCTTCGACCGATCTTTCCGCTTACGTTATCGATTACCCGATTCTACGCTTATTACGTATACCTTCTTATAATAACTAAGCTAAGGGAGCTAAAGTAGTTTGAAGGGAATTAAATCCTTTAAAATAGGTCTTAATAAACTATCTAGCTTACCTAGGACGCCTATATTAATAAGGTCGCTTATAAATTACTTCTTAATTCCCTTAATAAGAAGCTTCCCTTTATACTTATATTAAATAAAGAGCTTTTACTTAATCTATCCTTTTAAGCTAGGGAGTAAGAGAAATACTTATATTAATAAAAGGTAAGCTCCTTACTTTTTTTAGCTATTTCTATTAAACTAGATATCTCTTTTATAGTCTCTTAGCTAGCTATATATAACTAAAATTATAGCCCTAGGCACTAAAAAGTAGTAGACTAAGCTATCCTTTATTTTTACTTAATAAGATTATATAGTCTATACTTAAGAAAGTAAGAAAGGAAACTAGCTACTAAAATCTTTTTTTATTTAAGCGATTCGTCCTTTATAAATAATTCCTTAAATAGAAAAAGCTTATAAGGGTATATTATATCCCTTTTTAAAGGAACTATTACTTATAGAGCTTTAAAGTAAGCTACCGTTATAACTTTAAGTATAAAAGTAAAGCTACTAGCTCTTTTAAAAGTATTAAAAGAGGCGATTTTCCTTAGCTAGCTACTTATATCTTTATAACTATAAGTTCTATCCTTATTAGCTATAAAATATAATAATATATAAACTATATAGTTCTTATAAAGGAAAATAGTAAGCTATTAACCTAGCTATAGTATATTAATATTTATTAGTATTAGTTATACTAAAAGGTTTAAAGGGGACTTATTTTTATTTATTAGGTTATAATAGTATTAATAAAAGCTAAAGGTCTTATAAAGCCCTTACTAAAGTAAAAGCTAGCTATCTTTTTATAGTAAATTAAGCTAAAAGACGTTTAAGAGAAGCTATTCTTAAAAGCCTACCTTAAGAGTTTATAAAAGGAGCTAACGGTATATAAGAGGAAGGAAACGTCTATAGCTAAAGAGAGGAACTAGGACTTATCTTAAAGGAGGGCCCTTAGCTTAATTAAGACTTATTCTTTTAAAGGCCCTTTTTTAAGGACTTATCCTTAAAGAAGCCCCCCTTTCTTATAAGACTTAATTTCCTCCTTAGGCCCCTTTTTCTTAAAGTTAGTTTAAAAGAGCTTAGGGCTAAAACCTAGACTTCTTAAGTAAGGGATAAGTATAGACTAAGACCTCCTCTATACGCTTACTAGCCTAAGTATTTAGCTTTACCCTTTCTATATAAGTAGGCTATAGCTAAGGGGGTATATTATAAAGTATAGCTTAATTTTATAGTTCTTAAAGATCTCCCTTAGTATAAGGGACCTAGGAAGCTAAATATACCTAGTATAAAAGAAGGAAGAAGGAGCTAAAAGGAAGTATAAAAAGAAGGGTAAGGGTATAAGGGGAAGTAAAAGTAGCGATAGCTTCTTATAAAGGTAGCGAGAGATAAGATAGATATACTAGTAATAGCTAGAAAGGAGGGGAAAAACTAGTAAAAAGCTTAGTAGTTAAAAGGATATTAATAGCTTCTTTAAGTAAGATCTTCTTTATTAATTAAGATATTAAATAAGTATAAAAAGGGGCGTTAAATAAAGGAAAGAAGGATAATTAAGGTAAAAAGAATATTTCTACCCTACCTATCTAACCCCTAACTTTTAATTTTACCTTTATATATTTTTATATACTTCTTATATCTCCCTTTATAAGAGTTTTCTTTATATAAGTTCGTTTATATATAAATTACGCTATACTTCTTCTTTTTCTTAGATATCTACTTTTATCTTATCTTATTACTTTACTATATACTCTTACTTAGCTAGCTTAAATAACTTATACTCTATATCTTATAAGAGCTCTTTTTATAAAGCTTCTTATAAGACCTATTATAAAAGTATTATAATAATAATCTCCTTTTATATAAGATCGATTAGCTAGTATTATAACTTAGTATTATCGTTAGTAGTATTATTAGTAGTATTATTAATAGTATTATTAGTAGTATTATTAGTAGCTTTATTAGTAGCTTTATTAATAGCTTTATTAATAGCTTTATTAATAGCTTTATTAATAGCCTTATTAATAGCCTTATTAATAGGCTTACTAGTAAGCTCGTTATTAAAAAATAGTATATATATAGCTCGTTAATATACTTATAGTATAGCTATACTAAGCTAATAGAGATCGCTATACTATTAAAGGTATTATAAGCTTTAAGTAAAAGTAAAAGCTATAGCGCTTATATTAAGTACTAGAAGCGCTATTAATAGCGGTAGTTCTATTATAGCTTTAATATATTTAAGGTTTTCTATAATATTATATATTAATAGCTCGCGCTATATACCGCGGGTTATTTTTTTTAAAGTTAAGAGCGCCCTTAAGCCTACCTTTACTATATATAATAAGCGGCTTATAAAGGGAAGCGGCTTTAAGGCTTATAATATCT